ATTCCAGTCACCCTTTCACTACATCCGGGATAGTTTCAGGAGCTTTGTTCAACACTTAGCTATCCTGGATTTGAAGTCCCTTCATGGTTCCACCACCAAGCAGTTGGATCAGTCTTAGAGCCAATGCTGGAACCACATTGGTGTAACAATAGGCTTTCCGGGATTGCTCTATGCGCAGTTGTCTCATTCCATCAGAACCAAGATCCGATCATTGACAGTTTCTCTGTAAAATGCACACTGCATTTTGAAAATGAAGATGGGTCTCGTATCCGCTTTGATTGTGATGTTGGAAGTTTGCCCGAACCTGCAGGAAGGCTTGCGGCAGACCATGTTTTTATCGGCTATGTCAGTTTCTCACACTTTACAAAACGTTTAGAGGATCACTACTCTGGTAACTCTATACCTACAAAGGCTTCTCTGGAGTTCTACTTGACTGATGCCTCTAATAGTGAAGTGGTGGATTGTGGGTTAAGTTTGATGTACGCTGAACCAGATAACATCTTTGTTGAAGAAAATGGCCATAAAACCTCTGTTGAAGCAAATGGCCATGAAACCTGTTCCCTAAAAGGTCTTGGTTTTATACATATAGATTATAGTTCTATCATAGTTTTTTCAGTTTGCACAGTGATCATTTGTTTTGCTTTAAGAATATGAAGGTTTAAAACTGGTTTGTCTTGTCTTATTGATTAAAAAGAGAAAAAAATCATTATTAAGATCCTCTTTGATTCATTTTATTTTCTTCTACATTGGGATCTTCATACGAATTGGACATTGGCACGACACGATCGAGCTGCAGAATCTCTGTAGCCACCCTCAATGGATTGGCTATTGTCCCTTAAGTTCTGTGAAGTTAATTAAGAAAATAGCCGGCTTTACCCGGGACACATACATGTACTACTGAACTTTTAAAAAAGAAATATTGGGAATCAAAGAAAAAAATAGAGAGAAAAAGTAAAATAATAGTCCAACTTATGCGAATACGAGTGATAAAGGCATAAAGCTTCAACTATCCGGATGAAACATAAATATTTGGAAGGAAGCTTTCATGTAAGAAATGAAATTTCAGAGTTTTGAAAACGAAGATGGGTCTCCCTATAAACGTATATTGTAATGTTGGAGATTTGATGGAACCAGGAAGGATTGAGTCTTCTTCTTCAGATCGTTTTATTATCGGCTATGCCAGCGCGAGTGTGGTGCCTGGAATGTGATAGCGGTACTGCGGGATAGCATTAGGAACGGTAAGTTTGGAACATGAAAAATGATTTTTGTGAGGTTTTTTATATGAACCAGATATATTTTAACAAAGATTTAATGCGTTCTACATTACAGGATAATTTATTTACATTTTTTGTCTTTACGTCTTCCGCAAGGTACCTCTGACCAGTGACCAACCACTGCTCTATTGCCAACATAACTTTAGATTTCGAGGGGTCAATGTCTGTATAGTTGGCTTAGAGCATGATTAACGGCAGTATATTAGGGAAATCTTAGGGATAAAACTGATTAAATTAATTGCATTTACTCCTTTTAAACTAAGGAACGTTCCTTCTGTTTTTTTTCTCTCTCTCTTTCACGAGTGTTGTCGGAGTGTTGTTCTTCTTCCACTGAAATTCACAAGATTTCCGATTATTTTCAACAAATCAGAGTGAAGCTTTCCCCAATCGGTTTGTCATGGTATGAATCTATCTATGATTGTATGAATTGATATGTGATTAGAGTTTTTAGAATTAGGGTTCATAGAATTGGGGATTTTAGGGTTATTAGTTGTTAGTAAAATTAGGGTAATTAGAATCATTAGGTTAACGAGTGTCCGTTTGTGTTGTAATACATGAGTAAAGCCGATTGTTATGATAGTAAAAGAAACTAGGCATGTTTAAAGCCGATTGTTGTCCGAGAATGTTTTTTTCATGAGTGTTGATGATTGTTTCGATTAATACTCTCTGGGATCCTTTTATAATTCATGAATTTGATAAGTTTTTGATGCTATACGCATGATTGTTAGGTTACTCTAAGATGTTTTTGTATGAATAGGCCATGAATGTTGAAAAAGAGAGTTTCTTTGATTTGTTATTGGTTGGTTAAAACTTGGGTATTGTTTCGTTTTATTTGTTCTGTGTTGTGGAATGATTAGTTGATATGTTGAACTGAGTATTGATTTTATTGCATCAGGTAAGGGAAACAGTTTCGTTGCATTGTGGATTTTTTAATGCTAATGGGGGATTTAGGATTTTGGATAAGGATAAGAGGTTTATGCAAACATGTGAAGTTGTAGTCTCGACGTGTGCTTTTGGTGGTGGAGATAAAATCTTTATGAACCTATTGGAATGTCTAAGGCATCAAGTCAAAAGGTTGGTCACTTTGATTTTCTCCTGTCCACTGCTCTTTTACTGTTTCTCTTGCATATCGAGTAAGGGTTTTAAACAAAACCAATTCCAGAGATCATTATCCAATCCTGAATGAGGTTTGTGGATGCAGGTTTGCTATGTTGCGTTTTGGGATGAAGTTACTCTTGCAACACAAGAAGCAGAGGGGTCATAAGATCAATGAGAATGATCACATTGGAAAGTGGCGTATAGTGATTGTAAAGGATATGCCTTTTACAGACCAAAGGCTTACTTTCTTTTTTCAAGTGAGTTATTAGAGTTGTTGAATGTGTAAGAGAGTCGAGCTCTTGTTTGTAAGTTTAGTCTAATCTCTAGAAGTCTAAGTGTGTGTAGTTAGTAGAAGAGTAACTAACTACTATAAGAATGCTATGTGTGTGATGTTGTATAGAGCTCAAATTCCACACACTAAAGATACCATGATACTAACAAGAAGCAACAATTCAAAAATTTTGGTCGAGCATATATGGCAAAAAATTTCCGAAAATCAAGTTTAAAACTATTGTGTTTTATGTCATCTATGTTATAAATTGTATCTCATGTATGTTTTAATTTGCAACAATTATTAAATTTTCTATGATTATAAATTTTATTTTTATATTAATATTTTTTTTTCTAAAAACCACATGTTAAGAGCCTACCATTAATCACACAAAATTTTTAACTCAAAAATACTATCTCTTAACAATCACTTTTACAAATAAATTACTTAAATATTGCTAAGATTAATTTCTAAGAGACTACCTATAATCATGCTCTTAGCTTCAAGCGGAACAGGAGAAACTTACAACACCTCTTGAAAAGTTTTGAGTATTCGAAATTTTGGGTTTGATCTTCTCCAAGAGGTTCCCAAAGTCCGATTAGTGCTTGGAGGAACTTGTGAAGATTGACTGCAAACATAACCCCCCTAAACCTCAGAAAGTCACAATATTATTTCGTGATACTCATGAATGATGGAAATTGGGGTTTAATTGGTATAGTATTTGTATATAAAGGGTTGAAAAGTCTTAGGTCAAAGAACATTAAAAGCCAATTCGGTTTTGTTTTTTGAGGTATGTTTACAAAATACATTACACTATTTTCGTGTGTTTGATCTTAATCTTAAATAGCTATGGATGATTGTTGGTGCAGGAATTAGCACCTCCGACAATACCGGCTTAAACCGGACGAATTACGAATCAAATTGAGAATTCAATGTAAACCGGGAAATCCCGGTTAAGCTTGTTAATAGGCTGAAGAAGGAGATCGCCAGGCGAGTTCGATTCAAAGATGGGAGATTGCCTGCAACCGACTTCCTTATTCAAGAAAAAGGAGATTTTCCTAGAAGAAAAAGAAGAATCCCGAAAAGAAAGGAAAATCGGAAGATAAAGCCTTGAAGATTTAGAAGATTAACTTATCTCTAAACCGCCCTAAACTTGTATAAATAGAGGGGTTTGTCCTCTATTTAGGGGATCCGGAACTTTTACACAAAAATCCTAATTGTTCTTGAGCTAAACCCTACCGTTGTCTCTAAGCAATAAAATTCACCCTGTATTCGAGTCTTTGATCATTAATAGCAAGAGAGAGTTAATTGAATTTGTTTTCCCCCTTTAAACAAATTCATTGTGTGATTTTCAGAATCAACAATGATCCCTAGAAAAATATTAGGATAGGCAAAAAAGATCAAGAATGGCTCACTTGTCTAATGCATTTTTGCAGCTATTGATGATCTTTCTAAATCTTTTGGATGCCATAATGAGTCATTGTGATCTGTGTGTGGAAATAAGTACTCATTAGCAATAATAGCATGAAATTAATTCCCTCGTCTTATAACAGAAAAGACTATGTACTTGTGTTGGCCCGGTCTCGTTGGTCTCTCTGATGCATATTGCAGAACGGGTTTTTGGTGTTTTCGCGGAGATAGTTAAAAGTAAAAGCGGTTAAGAAAGAACTTCAAATACATGATCAGGGATTAGCAAGTTTTGATGGCTCTTTTAGTGATTCACCCACTGATATTTCAAGAGTGCTAAGTGGTTATTCGGTTTTCTTGTTTTAGTTGCCATCGTGTATGATATTTTATTGTATTGACATATATTACTGTGTGTCATTGTCTATTTGTTTTGTTTGGTTGTTTCAACAACTACCCAAATTTGTAGTTAAGATTATTCGGATTAGTTTAAGACTCACTCAAATCCAGTCAACTAATTTAATATTCTTTGTAGATCAATAATCAATCATGGAATCAATATAATTGTGTAAGTAAAATACATTGAAACCATTGAATCCAACGTTCTTACAGAAAACAATCCTCTTGTTTTTCCTCTGCAAATAAACACCATCTCCTTCCATGGGCTCCTCCTTCTCCCTCTTTACCGATGTTGGACCGATCCCGCCTCAGTATCAAGTGTTCATCAACTTCCGAGGCGAAAAACTTCGTGATGGGTTCCTAGGGTTTCTTGTAGATGCTCTTTTAAAAGAGAATGTCAACGTCTTTATAGATGATCATGAGCTTAGAGGGAGAGATCTTGATCATCTCTTCAGTAGGATCGAGGAATCGAGAGTCGCATTGACAATCTTCTCCAAGAACTTCACCGAGTCAAGATGGTGCTTAGATGAGCTTGCTAAGATCAGAGAATGCGTGGACCAAGGAAGTCTTACAGTGATTCCTATCTTCTTTAAGATGAAAACAGACGATGTGAAGAAACTAAAGGGAAAGTTCGGAGACAATTTCCGGGACCTGAAGTCAACGCATCGCGGCGAGCCAGAAAATTTTCGGAGATGGAAGGAAGCTTTGATTTTTGTTTCAAAAAAAGCTGGCTTGTCTTCATCACGATACAGGTCTAGACTTTGTCCCTTTTCTTCTCTTCTTGGTTGAAAATTTGGAATGCTCTGTTTCTTGACTCTGTTCTTGGTTAGTTCAGGACATAAGCTTATTCACTCACAAATCTTTTGATCTCTGTTATGACAGTCGTCAAAATGATTTGGTGAGCACAATCGTTGAGGAGGTTAAGAAAGTTTTAAACGATATCGCCGAGATGGAACGACAAATCGTTGAAGTGAAACGCAACAATTTGGCGGCAAGAACAGATGAATTGATTAGATTTGTTGTCCGTTTCCTAAGTCTGTTTCTTCTGTTTACAATAGTTTTTGGTCCTTATGTTTTAGGCCTTCTCACTTTTTTCTCTTTTCTTGTGGGTCGGTTGATAATCAATCGAGCTGTGGAAAGTGAGTGGTGAATGGTTACGTTTGCGTTTCTATGAGAATACGTAAACGCAAAGAATCTGAGACTGGGAGTTTCATTTTGGTTACATTGTTGCATTCGATATTTTTTTATATGAAATTATTTGATTTTGATTAGTTTGACCTCGCATCAATTATTGATAGTGCACCACGTTAGATAATTTTAGTAAAATTAATAACTATCTAAGACTGGAGGTATAAAACATTAAACTTTTGGCCAACTACTAGATCAATGAGACTTCCACATTTTTTATTTGCTTATGATCTGGAAACTGAAGAAAAATATAAATCTAAAGATAAATGTTTCTTTCAAGTTTTTTTTTTTTCTTTTTAATTGGTGTCAACCACTTTCCACTCTTTTATTTTATTTTTCTTGTGCAAAATGTTCCCAAAAGTCTCCGCTTGTGAATTTCTCTATCCAAAACTCAGAATCAATTCCAAAACCCAAAGAAACACATTGTCTCCTCAGTGTCAACACACGAGAGCCAAGCACTAAGTGGTTGAGAGTTGGTTTCACAATGCATAATTGCATATACTTTTTGGCATTCAGAGTTCTATTTAATCTTATAGAATTATGTGCTATCTAAATGTTGATGAGTCATGATTATTTACAGTCTTCTATCTAGTGATAAGTAAATGTTCTTGCCACTCGTTATATATATCATCTTTTACAAGAAAATTTTGTCATTAGTTTCCATTTGCCTGGTCAAAAGAACAAAAATGTCACCATGTATTAAAGAAAGATTTACCCAACATGCCATTCTATATATTGCATAAAACAGTTATACATAATGTCATTTTATATACTGTATATGTCTACATTAAAGAAGAGACATGGCTTGAAACTTGCTTGAATATTAAATGCCATGATAATTCAAGAACGAAGCGTTGACATTTGAAATGAAATTTTCCAAAACATGCCAGCTTCTGAACATGTTCTTCTCCATAAATTCAGGAAGCAAATTTTAAACAAGAAAGTCTTAATCCTCCCATGGCAGAGCCAAGACCATACCAACGTCCTCCTCAGGTATTCATCAGTTTCCATGGAGATGAATTACGCGACAATTTCATCAGATATCTTGTGTGGGGATTGAGAGATGAAAGAGTCAACGTTTTCATAGACAGAGCAGAAGCAAATAGGAGAGACATAAGAAATATTTCCACAAAGATCGAGGAGTCTAATATCGCGGTCATAATCTTCTCCAAGAGGTATACAGAGTCAGAGATGTGTTTGAACGAGCATCAAAAGATGCACGAGCACGTAAAACAAAGCAACCTCAAGGTGATACCTGTCTTCTACGATGTGAGCATAAGCGATGTAAAGAACCTCGAGGGTGAATTCGGTAATCATTTCGAGGAAATGAAGATGAAATATGCAAATGATCCACTCAAGATCTTGAATTGGGAGAATTCATTGAGTTCAATAGTAGAGAGGACCGGCTTAACCTCAGAAGAACACGGGTAATTATTTTCTTGATGATTCTCTTAAGTAGATGGAGTGTAGAAGAACATTGAAGCCAATTCTTGATAATTTGTTCTTAGGGAGACTACTTATTTGAGCTCATCTAATGGTTTTTTTCCTCACTCATATTTGCAGAACAGGTTTAGGTCTGGTCATGGCAATCGTTAGGGCGGTTAAGAGCGAGCTAACAGACTCTCTAGAAAGAAGAAAGATTATGAAAGGACAAGTGTTTGTTTTGGCTTCAGCTGCGGTTTTTATCTTTAGTCTCTTTGTAGCTCGTTTACTTTGCACTGATGTGAAAGTTTACAAAGCTGTTAAGTGTTTACTAGGTTTTCCGGTTTTGGTTGGTGTCTTGCACCAGCTTTATTGTTTACGGAAACATCCGAACAGATAACTTCTTGATTGATCACCATTTCGTGGTTGAATGGTTTCGCGCTGTTTGGTTGATCACCATTACGTCTCTGTTTAATTGTTATTTACCTGTATTACTCTGCTTTTGTCCGCAAGCTTATATGAGAAAGACAGTTTCATGTATTTATATTGGTATGAGCATGTTAAGGGTTTCTCTCTTTATAGTTTTCCTTCAAAAACATTATTGATCCGGCCCATGACCCGGGATTTAGAGTATTCGGATCCATTGAGACAAAGGTGTTGTATAATATTAAAGAAAGACTGAGGATAGGTGCAGACTTGGCATCGAGTCACTGACACTGATTGGTCTGAAGAATTAAAGAATGGTTTCTCTATAATGTTTTTTAAGGACAAAGTGAGACAACAAAGTCTCTCACCAACTATATTCTCTATTTTTTTCAGACGAACCTAGACACCATTCCAATGGATGAGCAGGTCCAAGAACCTCTTTCTGATCAGGTTTTTATCAACTACCGCGGAGATGAGCTGCGCGAAATCTTTGTCAACCATCTAGAGCTACAATTAAGAAACGCAGGGATCAACGTCTTCATAGACACTAAAGAGCAGAAAGGGAGAAGACTACAATATCTCTTCACAAGGATCAAGAAGTCAAAAATCGCGCTTGCTATCTTCTCCAAGAGGTACTGTGAGTCAAAGTGGTGTTTGGATGAGCTTGTGACGATGAATGAACAGATGAAGAAAAAGAAACTCGTTGTGATTCCAGTCTTCTATAACGTAAGATCGGACGATGTGAAAAGAGCAGCCAATCCCGATGGAGAAGGCGGTCTTGATGGAGAGTTTTCCCTTCCTTTTAAGCAACTGAAGCAAAAACATGCAGGGGAGCCTGAGAGGGTCAAGGGTTGGGAGTGTGCCCTGAGATCTGTGACAAAAAAGAATAGGATTTTCCCGGTCAAATTACGGGTAATATTTCAAAATACATGTTTTCTTGATTATGTTTGGATCTATGCCCGACTAATCTTTGGACTAGTAGATATCTTTGGTAAGGAGTTTTACGCAAACCCACCAACCGACCGTGGGTAAATTAACCGGAAAAAGCCTAGATGATTGAGCGATCTATGCGCAAACAAGATCGCCATGCTCGAGTTTTCTTGATGATTCTTGTTGAAAATGTTTAGAATCAAGTAGGGAGGATAGAGATGAACATGGTGAATAATAGAGAGAAAGATGATTGATTGTAATGTGATAAAAGTTACAAATGGTTTGGGGCTGCACACGATTTATATAGGGAGCTCACTAGGTCAAGATGGGTATGCACATAACCTTAAAAGCATCCTCATTCAGCCTAGTGAGTCACCGTGTGCTTTAGCCACTTTCCAGCTCATGACAACGGTCATACACTACACGACACGGCCGTACACGCGCTTAGCACCATCCGGATAAGGATGGTCTCCTTCCCGCGTCCGTACGGTCCAAGATGACCGTTACCTCTCTTCCTCTTATTCAAACCAGTTACTTGCATAACAAGAAACACATTTCATTCATAACTATTACTTAGTTAGAATAAAATATCTTCTTGATCAATACTCCCCCTCAAGTTTATACTACAATAATCATTGTTATAAACTTGACACTTATGCGAGTGACCTCGTTAAAAACCTAAGATTGGAAAACCACGTGGGACAAAACCAATCTTAGGGAAAAAGAGTATCACTGACATAAGTAGGGAAGTTCTCTCAAGGGTGTGTTAGGTCTACAAGTCCAAGCTTGCCATGAATAAACTTGCAAACTTGGGTACTTGCTGCCTTGGTAAAGATATCGGCCAATTGGTCCGAACTTTCAGTGTAACACGGTAAGATAGTACCATCTTGGATCTTCTCTCTAGTCTTGTGGCAGTCTATCTCCACATGTTTGGTTCTCTCGTGAAACACCGGGTTGTTGGCGATGTGAATAGCCGCTTGGTTATCGCAATGAAATGTGATGGGCGTCTTTTGATCTATCCCAAAGTCTTTAAGAAGCGCCTTTAACCATGTCAACTCATTTGTAAGCTTCTTCATAGCTCTATACCCCGCTTCAGCACTTGAACATGACACCACCTTTTGCTTCTTTGACTTCCAAGTCACTAAGTTTCCCCCAATGAAGGTGCAAAAGCCGGTTGTCGAGTGTCTATCATTACGATCTCCACCATAATCCGCATCACAATACCCAACTATCTCCGTGCTTGAGTTCTTTCCCATCCAAATGCCTTGGCCGGGGCTCTCTTTGAGATACTTTAGAATCCTATCTACCATACTCCAATGGTACACCGTGGGTTCTTTCATGTGTTGACTCACCTGATTCACTGCAAAAGAGATATCAGGCCGAGTGTAGGTCAAATAGATTAACTTACCCACAAGTCTTCTATATTGCTCCGGGCAATGATATGGTCTATCATCCTTCTCCCCCTTTCGATTGACCTTATATCCTGGCTCTAATGGTGTTGAAACCGGTTTGGCTCCTAGCTTTCCCGTAAGCTTTAGAAGATCGAGTGTGTATTTCCTTTGTGAGAGACATAGAGCCTCCGGTGATCTACACACTTCGATACCTAAAAAGTATTTCAACACACCAAGATCTTTAATGTCAAAAGCATTGTGTAAAGAGGTTTTGATAGACTTAATACCTTCCTTGTTACTCCCCGAGATGATCAAGTCATCAACATAGATTAAGACAACTAAAATGCCTTGATCATTTTGGACAAGTAAACCACGTGTGATCAGATTCTGACTTCTTGAATCCTTTAGCCTTAACGTGGAGCTTAGCTTAT